TCTTTAGCCTAACTGGGGTTCCTCAAGAAAGAGAATTGCCAAGAGGAAAATGTGTTAATACAGAGAAGATGCACATTTGACTTTGTGAAGTCATAGAAGGGACTGGAAAACTGTTACCCCCTGCACAATGTCCAGGAGGGAACACACCAGAATGATCCAAAGGTCTAAGGACAATTCTCCCAATAACTATACCACGGTCTCTCTTAAGACCCGTAATACTAGAAATACCTAAGAAAAACGTCATTAGTGCTTTCCAGAAACATTAAACTACTTGCATATTCTTTTTTAAATTGTCTTAAATTACATCTAGTTAGTGTGTGTACCACAGAACATACGTGAGAGTCAGAGAACGCCTCACAGGGGTCAGTTCTCTCTTTCCACTGTGTGGGTCACAGGGATCCAAGCTGGGTTGTCAGGTTTGCTGAACAGTGCCTTGACCCGCTAAGCCATCTCACCAACCTGCTTACATTATATTCTCTACCTATTCGGCCCAAAACACACCAAAGTAATTACAGTCCCCACTGTGCAAGCAGGAAGGAGTGAGAGGAGACAAATAGCCTACCTAAACCCCTCCCCCAGCACACGACTACAGGGCTGTACTCCGCATCTCCACATCTTCTAACAAGAGGGAACAAAGCTTCACAATTGAGCAATTTACCCCAAGAGACTGTTTGAAAACTCCTGCCCGCAGGTGGTAGCTTAAAACCAAGACTTTCTGAATTACGACAAAGTCCCTAAAACAAGCTTCAGAGTGAGAAATGATTTGAATATCACTTTTACATGGCTATTCCAAACTACACCTAATTGATATTGTCACAGTAAGGCCTTAAGAAACATACAAGATTCATGCTGAAGTATGTACATGGTTGGTGAATCTTACAATTCTTTTCAAATTTTGATAGCATCATTTAATTTCCCGCCAGAATTCAGCAGAATATCAGAAAACCTACACATAAGTAAACATACAACATGTGGGTTTTACCAGTTTCCAGACTGGCCAGCCACTGTAACCAAGCAAACACTTCCTCTTAAGCTTTGCATGTTTCACACAAGCTGTGCCAAGAAGTAATTCAGCTCTTTTAAGGCAAAACCTACCATGTGATTTTACTGCAAGAGCTAAAAAATATTCTTTTCATCAAAATGGCTAAAAAATACACAAGTATTCAGTGAAACCCCTTTATTGCACACTCCAAACACAGTATAGGTATGACACGAACTCGGGCTCTAAGAAAAAATACTATACAGAACTTAGAAAAACAGTTCAGGCATGTATCACTCCAGTGAGCCAGATATTTACTATAGACAGTCACACTGACTCACGCTCAGGGAGGCTGGGTAGAGAAAGGCATTCCCTTTAAGAAAGAACACTTAAATGACATGTATTCATTCCATTGAAATTATTTGGATATTCCTGATTCAGAAAAACACTCATTACCAAATAAGGCTCCAGTAGATTTTTCATATGCTCTGTTTAATGGTGCATTCTGCCCAATATTATTTCACAACGAAAGATGAACCTGTCTGATCTATACTTAGAAAGATTACAAATCAAGCTTTGGAGATTTGTATCTGCTCCCCTAGTGGAAGGTGCATTAATGACGCAGGTTTGCTATGAGAAGATCAATTAGCTGCCTTTAAAATGTAATGCCCAAAAGCTATGTAATAACATCAAAAGTCCGCCTTCTTTCCTTAGGACAAAGTCATAATTTCTGTGCATAACCCCAAACTGCCTGTAAAAAGAGAAAGGAGACTTTAGAAAAAGTAGTTTGGCTTCCATCATCAATCGTCAAGGAGTGCCTTCACCCAGCCTCATTTTCTAGAAGAAAAGAGTTATTTCTGTGTTATTCAGCATAATGGCCCACATGCTTAAATTATTCACCATGCATCAACTATACGCAAATTTATTTAAATTTCATAATAATTTAATCTGCATACTGGGAATGCCAATCCCATGTCATGAAAACTTCATAAACTCTAGGCTATCTCCCACTGCTTTAGCTCTTGCCACAAAAGGATGCCAAGTACAACTGCAGAAAGTGAGTCATTCCAAACACTCGTAAGAGCAAAAGCTAGAAGGGATTTGGCAGAACAGGACGCCATTCCCTTTCTGCAAGGTATAAAGCGCACCATCTAGTCTTACAGTTCTTTGAGACTCCATGATCTGCTGCCGTGATTCAACAACAGAGGCAAAGGAGCTTTCGTTTAATCCAGTGCTGGAGAATTATGCAATTTTTCCCTCAATGGACATTTGGTAATGTCTGGAGTCTTAATGGCTTGTCACAACTCGGGGAGGGACCACTGGCCCCTCACTGCAGGGAAGCTGCTGAGCATTCTACCTTGTACAAGGGAGTCCCATAACAAAGACTAGTCCAGCCGAATGTCAACAGCACCAAAGACGAGAAACAGTGCTTTGGCAGACAGTAACTACACTAGTCCTACTAAAAGGCTCTGCAGATCTCAAAGACAATTTTAACTCTAACTAGAAACTTCAAACTTCAAAAGGCAAACACTAGGACACAACCCCAGGCCTCAAACCAAACAGTGTTATGGGTGAACTTCGGCTGGACAGCATGCAAACCATGAAACACTAAATACATGTTAGCAGACTAGCAGGTAAGGTTAGCAGATGAAGTCATGACTAGCAGGTAATGTCCCCATCCAGAGCTCTCTGTAGCTGCTCAGGGCATTCAAGTCTGACAGCCCCCCTCCAGTCCCCACCTACTCTTTCACTCCCCACTATGGAATTTTCTAGTGAAAGCCACAGATTTGCTTTGGGTTTTTACCCCCCGAATGTGGATTAAAATAACATGGAGCTAGTCAGAAGACATGAAACTAGTAAATAACTCAAGGTGCTTTTCACCCTGGAAACTCTGATTTATCAGGCCTTACAAGGTTTCTAAATCAGTTCTGGAACATGAAAAGATAGCAGCAGCTTGAAGAAACAGTCCCACGAATAAATAAATATCTAATGTAAAATAGTCATCAAAAGAAAATGTGTATAGGTACATGTATACGGCTGCACAGATCCCACTACAAAGACAGTGAGCCAAAATGGATTGTTACTTCTTAGCTCAGTATCTGCAATAAAAATGTGTATTTAGAGGCTAAAAGGCAGAATTTACATATTTCACACCTTACATGACTACAGAACGTTAAAATTCATCAAGGGAGAAAAAAATTACAAATTTTAATGAAAATAAAGTCTTGGGCTCTAGAAACCTTACAGATCAATGTGAAACTGATTGATAAATGACGGCCCATCCACACACAATCATTAAATATCACACTGAAGAACAGTTAAGAGCACAGACACACGCTTACAATGGTGTAATAGAAGACAAATTACAATCAACACACACAACATGCCAATCCTGTATAAAATATAAACATACAGAAGTGGATGCTTCTATATATAAACACACACATAAAGAAATACAAGCACGCACACCAGGAGAAACTGGTGGCAGTCTGCTAAAATGTTCACAATGGTTATCTCTAGAGGCGGAAGGCTACAGCCTGTTTCTATTCTTTGTGCTCTCTTGTGAGAATATTTTGCAATTTTTGTACTTACAAAACTCATGAATTATTACAATGTTATATCTTATTATCTGGGGCACTGCACAGAAGATAAAACACAAACCAGAATCAATGTGCCAACTCTTCAATCTACAAAAAGAAATTAACAATAGCAAACATTCATTGAGCAGTTATCATTATGTCCCTGGCTCTAAGAACGTTAATAAAAGCATCAATGTATTTAAATCAAACCAAAAAGGCATGCTGGGTAAAAGAGCTCTGAGTGTTGGTTCCCACGATGGATTTACAGCTGTATTTCCAAGGCTTGAAACGAAGGGGGGGCTTATAAAATGATCTATAAAGAAAGATCTTCAAGGCTAGACTGAGACCTCACACGGAAAAGAATTTTGTCAAGTGTTTTTAAGACAGCTCCATCTCAAAAACAGAAGCCCACTTGGGGGAGTGGAGGGGTAGTGACTCTTGGGTCCTCTTCCTTAATATTTTGTAGGAACATTTCCTATCCATTGTTTTTAAAGACCTACATATTTTAATGCCACCATGGACACAAAATAATCAAACTGAAGTCTGTGTCCTACTGTAGGTAAAAGAACATTTTGCTATAAATTTGGCCTTTAACAATAAACCTGATGTAAACAAAAACTTTAAAGTACATTTCAACAGTGATCTGGGAATATATTGTTTTAGGGACAATTATCCCAGTGTCTGATTAAAGGGTTCTAAAGACAAGTTACTGGGATTCGGCAAAAGGGTAGACCATGTGTCAAACAGACCCAAACCTCAATACAGCATTGCATGCAAAAGATGGGGGGGGGGCAGGAAGAGGCAGGAACCCCATTTCTCTAGGTGGAAATTCCAGCTGCGTAGTTAAGGGGTTCCCACGGCTCAAGGCCTGGCACTAGGGTAACAGCAGGTGGGTCAGGGACGAAGGCTGCTGTCTTGCTGGGGGTCCTTCGCGTCTCACCTGTCATCCTCACAAACGTGCCGAGGGGCACGACTAACGAATACCATGCGAGGCATGCCAGGGCACACCTGTGACAAGCGCGCGCGCGCAGCAGCAGTGGGGGATGCGAACCCCAGGTCTGGACCACACGGAAACTCCGTGGGAAACACAAAGCCTGGGACGCAGCGACTCGGGAAGCAGATGAGCTCAACCCCCGGGCCGGGACACAAAAGGGCCGAGCGCAGCCCCGGGAACCTCGACGCCCCGGGGGCCCACGTGCCGCCCGGGCCCCCATCCGGCGAACCCGGAACCTCGCCGTGGGGCCCCCCCACCCCGCGGGACAGGGGCCACGCGTCGTCTACCACCCTCGCGGGGCCGCGTCCCCGCCGGCTCCTAGAGCGCAGGAGGGGGCGCGTCCGCCCGGCCCGCCGTCCCCGCAGCGTCCGCTCCCCGGCCCCCATGGGGACCCGCCGCATCCCCGAGGCCCCCCGACCGCCCTGGGCCCGGCCCAGCCGCGCCTTACCACGGCCCGTCGCGCCCGTTCCTCAGCGCGCCTAGAGCCGCCGCCGCCGCTGTTGCTCCGGTGCCCGCGGTTGTGCCGCCGCCATCTTGGCTCCGGCCGGAAGTGACGTCGCGCGGCCTCCGCGACCCCGACCTGGACCCTGACCTCGACCCCGTGCCGGACAGACCCCCGCGACGTGGGCCTGTCGGACCGACGCCAACCCCAGACCTCGAGATAAGCGGGGTATCAAAGTTCGTCGGAGAGGCCGCGGCCCGGAGGAAGGTCAGGGCTGAGGCAGAGGCAAGCGGATCTCTGTGAGGTGGGGTCCAGCCTGGGCTACATAGCCAGTGCCAGGCCAGCTGGGGCTACAGGGGACCCTGTCTCACAAAACATCAAACTCAGTGACAATAATAAAGCAGAGGTCGTAAATTTGAGAGGAAGTGAGGTGGGTGGGAGGTGGGGTAAGGCAAGTGGAAATGATGTAAATATAGTTTTCATGGATGAATACCCTCCCAAAAACAATTAGACATTTAAATAAAAGAAAGGAAGGTCAGGGCTCTTAGTCCTGTCAGGTCAATAGCCTTGTGCACAGGTGAAACCAGCAAGGTGCACAGGGTTGATGCGTTCATTCCTTACCAGGGAGCATTTGCTGGCTGCCAGCCATGGGGCAAGGACACCAGGGAGCTGCAGCTTACAGCATGGCCTTGGCCTTGGCCTTCAGCAAACTCCCTATTTACAGACAAGTGAGCAGATAGTGGTCTGGACTGGACTATGGTGATGCATGATGGAGATAAACTGGGTTGAACTAAGAACTCTTAAACTCCTCACACTCAAAGAGAGATGCCTGAGAGGAACAGCAGCTATGTAGCCATCTGGAGCTGTGGAGAGGGGCAAGCTGGAGAAAGTTAGCAGTCACATCTACATGGTTTCTAAAGCCCTGAGTCCTCCAGGATGAAGCTATGCTCTGAGAACAAGGTCAGGAAGAATCTAAGCGTAGTGGACAAATTAACCATTTGTCAAAAGGACCCAGTCTGAAGAATACACACTGTGTTGAGTTCACATGTCTCCAAAATTTGGAAAGACCAAGTTAGTTAATGTATATAACTAGAGTTTGAGATAGCATGTCAATTAACATGGATCATGGGATAGTCTTATTATAAAGGGTTGATGCAGCTGATGATCTAATCAGTCCCTGTGAACAAGGAAAGATAATGTCAATGCAGTAAATGTCATTGAGGGCCTTATAAAAATAAAGGGTCAACACACAGCCTAAGGGAAAGGAAATCAAATGTCAAAAGTTTGCTTATGGGGCCAGGGGAATGGCTCCGCAGTTAAGAGCACTAGTAGCTCTTTCAGAGAACCTGAGTTTGCTTCCCAGCACCCACATGGAGGCAAACAACTGACGGTCACTCCAGTTTCTGGGGATCCAACGCCCTCTTCTGACCTCTGTGGGCATTGCACGACATGGGTACACTTACATGGATGCAGGCATAACACTCGTACACTCATAAAATTTTACAGAGTTTGCTTATTTCCTTGACTGTTCAAGAAAAGGGTTTATAGACCTGGGAGATAAATGCCGTTGTGAGGCAGTTCACACATGGATTCTGCACCCTTTACCTAGATTAATATCTTTCAATCAACTTAATCTATGCATCAAGATCATCCGAGCCATCTCTGGGGAAAAATTTGAGTGAGACTCCCGCCGTCTCATCTGCCACCAAACACTTGTCGCACAAGTCAGCATTTTAAAAGAAAAGCTCTATGCTCTTGGCATTGGATAGAATACAAAGGGAGTGCACCTGTGTCGTGCAATGCCGCGGAGGTCAAAAGAGGGCTTCGGATTCCCCTGGAACTGGAGTTAAGGATGGTTCATAGCCACCGTGTAGATGCTGGAAATCGAACCCAGGTCCTCTGCAAGAGCAGTCAGTGCTCTTAACTGCTGAGCCATCTCTCCAGCCCCCATTGTTTATTTTTTATTTTAATTTTATGGGTATGAGTGTTTTGCCTGCATGTGTGTATGTACACCATGTGTGAGTGCCTGCAGAGGCCAGAAAAGACTGTCAGATCCCCTGGAACTGGAGTTAGAGATGATGTGCTCCTAACCACTGAGCCATCTCTTCAATCCTCCCCTCCTTTCTGTTTTTTTGCTTGGGTATGCTTCAGGGTTTTTTTTTTTTTTTTTTTTTTTTGGTCTTTTTGAGGCAGGGTCTCCCTGTAGTGCCAACTGGCCCTCACTGTGTAGACGAGACATCTACACAGAGATGGCTTCCATCTCACAGAGATCTGCCTAACTCTGCCTCCCGAATGCTCAGATTAAAGGTGTGTGCCACCATGCCCAGCTGTTTCAATTTCTTAACCTTTGATACTTCTCAGGTGAATAATATGCTTTACATTTGATCTGTTTGATCATAAAAAAGCAAAGACTACCAAGAATATGATGTACTTTAATGAGCAAAGATTGTGTTGTATAGTAAATATTCTTACTTTACCTCTTTGAAATGGGGAAATGTGTTGCTGACGGATGTGGGCAGGAACTTGAGCCATTTTCATCACATCTCATGGTCTGTTTTTTAGGAGATGGAAGTATAAAATGAACTCTATCAAAATCTACAGCCTACATGAAACTCTATCCTACCTAGGTCGACTGGCACAGCTCTGGTCAGGTCTGTGCCTTACAATGGAAATGCTGATACAGAGGAATTGTTTTTCATTTATTGCAGCATCTCAGAACCCAGAGTAGCATCGAAACACCAAAGAGGCATTTTTGTTGTGCGGGGATGACTTCTCCCTGGCTTTCTTGATACGGATGGATTAAATCAAATATGTGTAGACTAGACAGTATGTATTTTTTTAAAAGCATATGGTTTTAATTAGAACAGGAGCAATGCCTACAGAACTGCCCCTTGAAGGGTTAAAGACTGTGACTGAGTCTAAAGAATGTCAGTGCACCGCCAGTGAGAACATGTTTGAACCTAAAGCTCCCTCAAGAGTGGCAGTACCTGTTCTTTTCTGAGTTCTGTTCTAGATAGTGTGCTTGGATGACCCCCGTAACGGGTGTGTGTGTGTGTGTGTGTGTGTGTGTGTGTGTGTGTGTTTGATTAGTCACTAGTCTCATGTATAACTGAGGAACTAAGGCCAGGAGGGTTGAAGAAATTGCCCAGTTAAGAAATAAGACCATGCTGCTGGAGAAATGGCTCAGCAGATAAGAACACTTGATGCTCTTGCAGAGAACCTGAGTTCAGTTCCCAACACCTGCATCAGGTGGCTCATCTTTGGGATCTGTAAAGTCAAATTCACAACTGGAAGGTGCAGGTGCTGTCCAGTACCCACCGTGCGCCCCCCCCCCCCACTATCCTTACCACAACCCAAGGCAAGAATTCTCCAAAAACGCCATTTGGAAAACCCTAACAAGTTTAGTGGACTTGGTAACTGAGCTTGGGGTGCTGGTTTATTTACAGAAGAATGGGAGTCCCCCATTTGCAGCTGTGCTGGAATGTCCACACCCAAACATAAATCCTGTGGCTTCCCAACAGCCACGCAAAATGGCAAGAGACCTGCCTTGTGGCTTTCTTGGCTAATATATCCTTAGCCCCTCCCCTTCATGCAGCTAAGGTCAACTGATTGGACAGCAGAGGTAATGGGCCTGCTTGACTCCTTCCCAGAGCATGGGAAGAAGATGGGACTATAGCTTGTATCATAGTGGTCGGAGGAACTTCAGGTTAGAGGATCCAACTCCCTCCTCTGGCCTCCCCATGTACATACCCCCATACAGACACACGTGAATACACATAGTTAAAAATAACAAAAGTGAATCTTTTAAAAAAAGGAAAAGAAATGAGACCTGTTTTTGAACCTGTACAGTTCAAGCTCCTTAGTAAGCAACCCCTTCATCTTTGGTAGACATGTATGCATAACCACCCTCCCTCCAACACACAGAGCCCTGAGAGCTGGACCAGGAGCCACAGTGGCCAACTCTATGCTATATATGTGCTTTCAAGAATTAACTATATGGCTGGATGTGGTAGCGCACGCCTTTAGAACCAGCACTTGGGAGTCAGAAGCAGGCAGATCTCTGTGAGTTCAAGGCCAGCCTGGTCTACATAGTGAGTTTTAGGCCAGCTGGAGCTACAGGGAGACCCTATCTCCAAAAATACAAAGATATCTATGAATAGATAAACCATTATATGGAAAAATATTTCCATGATGACCAATCCAGTCACTAATTATCAGCTGTCATCACATTCAAGAACATCATGCTT